GAAGATTAAAATTGACATAACTAAGCCAAACTTTTTCTTTTCAATTATTTTAATACTGTATGCAATAACATGAACATTAACCCTTGTAATATCATGCTGCAATTAAAGAAGCTAACATTTGAAAGAGTCATAGATATCTCTTCCCATGTCACTCACAAGGAAATGCTATTCAAGTTAGTCACTAACTGTTAAAACTTAAAGTATCACCCATCATTTTATTGATGAAAAAATATGACAGAGAGAAATAAAGTAATTTTTCCAAAGTCACAGAGTTAATGACAAAGATAAGATTTCTGATTCTGAACTGTATGCTCTTTGTATTATATCATGTTGCCTCTAAAGTTTTATTATAGCTGATGACTAAAGAAGTGAATTAATAGCTATGTTATTTACTACCAGAATCATGTTATTGAGTAATGGTTTACAACCATTCAGAAGAGTTCAATTTCTTTCATCATATTGCCTGGATTTAAAGTCTGTTCTGCCATGAACTACATTATGAATTCTAGATTATATTAGGCAAGTAACATAGCCTTTCTAAACTTTAATCTTTCCAGATATAAAATGTTGATATTAACAGTACCCACCTTGTAGTTTATTAATGAAGATGCCATAAGGTTTGTCAAAGAGCACTGTGCCTGATTATGCTTATTGATAAAAATAATATTTATTTTATCAATAGAATTTTTATTAAGGTGAAATTAGCATTTTCAGATTTTAAGTATAATATTTCATAATTTTTATCAGTGCATAAGACTTGTAATTAAGATATAGAGTACTTAATTTACCTCCAAAATTTATCTTGTGCCTCAACAATTATAGGCACACTCTGTTCCTATTTTAATCACATAGAATTATCTTGCTGCCCTTAAAGACAATATAAATAGCATCATCAGACAGTATGAACTGTTTTTTGTCTGACTTATTTTGCTTAAAATATTTTTGAAATCTGACATGTTATTGAATATATTTTTGTATATATATGTATATTACATATTTATATGTGTGCATTTATTTATATGTGTTATTCATATTGGGTAATAATATATGTGTTTTAGTTAAAAACACCTTAGAATCTAATTATCTACTTTCCAATCGATGATATTTGGATTGTTTCAATACTGAATAAATCTTTTACAGAATTCTTGTTCTGTACTTTGGGGCACATATTTTTATTTTCTTTGATAAATATCTTGAGAAAGAATCAGTTGGTCATATGGAAAGAGAATGTTTAACATTGTAAGAAACTGATAAAATATTTTGCAAGTAGCTGTACTGTTTTAGATTCTCACCAGAAAATATGAGTTTTGTTTATCCTATATCCTCAAAAATTTTTGTTAATTTTGTAACTTTTATTAATTATCAGTTTTGTTAATTTTAGCCATTATAGTGCATATAAAAAGATAGCATTATCATTTTAATTTGCATTTCCTTAATGAAAGCTCATTATTAAAACTTTACTATGTATTTATTAGATACACACATGACTTTTTTTTCATAGAATCTGTTCAAATATTTTGACCTTTTCATTGTTTTTTTTTACATGTTCATCATTGAGACTTAGAATTTCTTTATGTATACTAGATATATTCTTTTGTTAGATATTTTCTCTTTTTTAAAAAAATATATTTTTCTTGATTTCAGAGAAGAAGGGAGAGGGAGAGAGAAATAGAAACATAAATGATGAGAGAAAATCATTGACCAGCTGTTTCCTTTACACCCCCCACTGGAAACTGAGCCCACAACCCAGGCAGGTGCCCTTGGCTGGAATTGAATCCAGGATCCTTCAGTCCACAGGCCAATGCTCTATCCACTGAGCCAAACCAGCTAGGGCCTTTTGTTAGATATTTTCATTGTGAATATTTTTTCTCTGTATGTGACTTTGTAAGTTATGTAAATGTCTAATGACTAGTGGTACACTTGAAATTAATATAATATTGAATGTCAACTGTGATTTCAAAAATATTAAAAAATAAAAATAAAACCCAGCACAAACTTGTCCTTTTGGTCATTATAAATTTTAGTTCTAGAATTCTCTGTTTTGCTTTAAAAAAATAGTTTTCATATATTTGCTGAGATCCTCTACTGTATACTCATTGATCATATAAACATTGTGACCATTTTTCTTTTAAGTACTTGAACTATTAGAAATAGTTAATTGAATGTCTTTACTTGCTGGTTGCATTTCAGGTTTGGTTGGCTTATAATGACTGCTAATTTTTATATTTTTTATTGATTTCAGAGAGGAAGGGAGAGGGAAAGAGAGATAGAATCATTAAGGATGAGTATCATTGATCAGCGGCCTCCTGCTGGCATATGCCATCACTGGGAATTGAACCCTGGCATGTGCCCTGGAAAGTGCCCTGACTGGGAATTGTACCATGATCTCCTGTTTCATAGGTCTACACTCAACTACAGAGCCACACTTACCAGGCTTGGCTGCTATTTTTTAATGTGTCTTTTAATGTTGTACTTTGCATATCTCATTATTTTTTTTTACCATGTGTCAAATATGTTATATATTATCATCATCCTGATTTTTAGTATACCTCTGAAGAATGTCAGTATTCGTTCTAACAAGAGTTAAAATATTAACAAATCACTTTAATCTTGTGCAGGATTAGTTTATACTGCTTCCAGATTAATTCCAGTTTTGCCCTTAGGCTTCCAGCAAATTCTTAGTTCTAAAACAGAGAAGGATTATAGTACTCCCAGGATTTTAAAGGAAAGTCTAAAATGCTTATTATAAGACCCTCTCTCTGGTGGGATTCAAACTCCAATCCCATTACCTCCTGCAATGAGTGGCAGCTGAAATGTTGGCTCAGCTTTTTCAGTATTTTAGTTTTTGCTTTATCCCAGGTTTTTGTTGTTGTTGTTTTTGGTTTTTTGGTGTCTTTTTTCCCTCTTTCCACCCCAAAACAAACATCTAAGGAAAGTTTTCATGTGAATTTACTTTTCGGTTGTTACTTTGTTTCTATGATTTGCCCCACAATTTGAGCCTCTCACTAAAAAAAAATAAATATAGAACCATAAGCCACCTATGTTTTGTGGGGTTTTTCTATAAAAATAAACAAAGCTTAAATATAAAGAGGGCTAAAGTTTCACACAGTGCAGCAAGGAACAAGAAATGTACAAAGATAGGGGCTTACATTTGTATTGCCTCCTATTAAATCATTATAGAAAGAAGTAAATTGGCTGGGTGGTGAATGTTGTTGCTTTAAGTGGATTCTTCTCTAATCCCATAAATAATGGTTTAAGGCAGAATTCTAAAGACATGCAGGAGCCCAGGTTGTCTGTTAGGCCATTTTTGCTTCCTAGTCAGAATATGTTTCCTCAGCCTGTTGTCATGAGCAGAAGTCACCAGTAATTATCTCTGCTTTCCTTGGGAATATTTTAGGGTTGGAGATGGAGTGTGTACCTACTCATCTCAGGTTCTATTCCTAAACCTCTAGACTTCTTATTCATGTCGCCTCCTGGGAAGACTTAGTTCATATAGAAAAGGCTCTGGCTTTGATAGAACTTCCTGCTATGCTCCAGAAAGGAATCCAATTGGTTCTCTTCACCTGCATCTCTACATGAACATCTTTGCTCTGGACTGGACTCCACAGGAATCTTGAAACACACCTCTACTTTCTTCTCTGTGGTCAGTAAGTGGAGTTCCTTCTGTGGTGGATGGGCTAGGTTGTCATAGAGGGGTATCTCCCAGACATCAGTATCCATGGTAACATCCTAGGTAAGAAGGAAGTATGCTCACCACCACTCATTCACCACAGACATTTTTCAGGATTGTCACAAAGCAGAATGAAGAAAGAAAGTCAATCCTGCACAGCAGAAATCTCTTTATGTTGTTAAAATGCCCTTTGACCTTCTCCCTTTATCCAACTTCCCTTCAAAGAGTCCCCTCCTGTTTTATGGTTTATATTCTTTACCCAGGCAGCTATCCCCATGCAATTACATTATTCAACCTTCAAGTAGTTTGTGTCTTTACATTGTCACTGGGGGGTGGAAAGCAGAAAAAGGATGAGTGCATCCTGGGGACACAGAATTTCTTCATGGCTTTCAAATCTATCAATGTTTGCTTCCTTCAGTCAAACTGAAAACCCATCAAGTCTGTTTTTGAAACAGGATGGTTTTACAGTGAAACAGCCATTCCCCCCCCCCAAACTTGGCTCTCCCTCCCCCCAAACTTGGCTCTCCCTCCCCTCACTGGGCTCTCCCTCCCCCCACAAAATAATCAGGATTTCTAACACTGCTCGATTTTAAACCAGGATTAAGGGCAGATCTGAGGAGACAAACCTTCTGCCATTGGGTTTGCTAAAGCATCTCATGGCTTTCATGGGGATGAAAGCCAGCCTTGCATACTGCGGGCAGTGAAGGGTTAAAAAGCACTGGAGAGACGCAAGGCATGTGTTAATTCCTGCTGCAGCAGCAGTATGCATCGCTTCCACTTTGACCTCACCCGTTAATCTGCGTGATAATTGATCACGCAGAGACTCTCGTGATTTTTGTGTCTTTTAAACACACACACACATAGCCCTGCCCCCTCTAAAAAAAAATAAATAAAAGCAAAGCAGATAAATAAACCTATAAGGATGGAACAGGAGGAGTATGTGTGAATGTGAGGGACATGAGAATGTTTATCAGGGTCCCTGCTTTCTCACCACTGCCCCCCCCCCTCTATTTTTCTGTGAGTGTCTTTCCCTGTACCCTCCCCCTACCTCAATTATATTATTCCCCCAGACTTGGAAGCCGCTCCCTGAGCTGACGCTCTGATGGTATCTGCAAGCGTGTGTGCTGATCTGATTCCTGCCCTCTGAATATTAATTCCTGACGCTGGTAGCAATTTCTCTCCCCAGTGACGGGACCTACTAGAGGCAGGTGGGGGGAGCCACCACCAGATCATAAGCATAATAATAATACAAAGGGGAGGGATTCTTCTGCAACCAAGAGACGAGAAGCAGAGGGAGTGTGTGTGTGTGTGTGGTGGTGGGGGGGGAGCGATGAGTTCGCCAAATATATGGAGCACAGGAAGCTCAGCCTGCTGCACTCCTGTATTTTCACAGAAAATGACGGCGTGGATCCTGCTCCTGCTAACGCTCTACCCAGGGTAAGATGTGCCGTTTTTTCAGCTTCGTTTTGTGCCGGAGGAGAGGTGGGGGAAGGCTGAGGAGGTGGCACTACGGAGGAGACCACCCAGATTTAAGACAGTGTTCTAGGATTTGGGGCTTTGTAAATTAGGGGGATGTGAATGTGTGGGGAGGGAAAAGGAGGGGGAGAAGAGGAAGGTCACTTTCGTTTATTCATGAATGTATCGCATTGCTTCGTTTTGTCTTAAAGCTGATGTATTAAAGACTTGGTGTGTGAGGGGCAGCATGTTGACATTGCTGCAGAAGGATGTCTAGGTGGGCTGTGCTGGTACATGCTGGCATTTGAGGCCATGTTGGAGGAGGCATTTGGGGAGGGGGGTCTCGAGGAGAAAACTGCAAATGCGGTCCTGGCGTACACCTGGGAGATGCACGTTTGGGGGAGGGGTTCTGTTCTTAAACATCCAAGTATCGCTTGCTCCTGCACTTTGGCATTCTTAAGATCAGTTTTCTATCCAGCCCCACTGACCTGGCAGCAGGCACCGCGACACACACAAGCACGGTTCAGCACCAGGGACAGCAGTTCCGCTTACAGCCAAATGGAAAGAGGCTTGTCTTAGCCCATAGGACATCCCCAAATTCACACAGGACATCCATATAGTGCAGATAGAAGGCCAACGGAACCATGGAGCACTAATGACATCCGAGGACCCTACTCTGATTATTCCTGCCTCCTCCTTGAGATGGGAGGGGGGCTCTGGGGCATGAGCTAAGGAACCTAGTGGATGAATGCATGGAAAAATATAAATCTGGGAAGAGTTGGTCTTGCTGCAGTATTGAAAACTATGCGGAACCAAGGGGATGTGATGCCAACATTGTGAAGTATGCATTAATGCCCTAGAGCCTTGATTCACTGAACAGAAAAGATGGGAGGGGAGTATGGATTCCCCCAAACCATGAGCAGGTGTGTGATCTGGAGTGCTTTCACCTACATTTTTTTTTAATTTCCTTGCACCACAAGTATCAGAGGAATATTCCTCCAACTATAGTTCACCATTGATCTACCAACCTACACATTCACAACCCCCCTTCTCCCCCTCTTCCCCACACACACCCCTCAGGTTTTCCAGCAAGGACTAAGTGCAGGTTAGAAATCCACTATTTACAATACTTGAACTCTCCTATATTGCCATTTTGAAATAAAACTCTATATTTAGGGTAGTTCTACACCCTAAGAAAATTTTTAAAAAGTAGCTACAGAATATATCAAGCCATTGCCCTCAGATTTTTGTGGGAGTTGAAACTCTTGTGTAGTAGTTGTATTGATATGAGATAAGAAGGATGGACATGAAACTGTTATTTGATTTTATTAAAATTAATGAGTTAACTTCTCTGATGCTTCATTTTTAGGGCAGGTAATGGAAGATGCAGATTTCTGATAAAGAAGAGACTCAGGCAAAACAAGGAGTGAAAGCCTCTCTTGGAGTTTCTAAGCAGAGAGAGGACCTACTTAATTTTTCCAGCATTTTTCTCACTTCCCTCCTCCACTATAAAAATAGAGTTCATTTTCATTAAGAATATAATATTAAGTATATTTCTTAGAGGAGGAGAGGTCCTTTTGCTGGAAATGGTTTATGGGCAAATGCATTTTAGTGGAATCCTGGAAAGTACATTTTCCTATTTAAAATTTGCAGGCAGGTTTTTCTGTCTAATGTTTTGTCTACCTCTTAATTTGTTTCAGAAATTAGACACTTGATGGTGGTTTTTGAATAGAAAACATCATTCTCATATTCCTACATTTTATAAAACCTGTGGATTAAAATCTACACAAGACAGAGGGGAATAGATCTTTCCTTCCTTTTCACCTTCCATCCATCCTAATAAACAATTTTGCAACTAAATAGATAAGGCCATCCTTATGTATTTCATCCTAATGGTCTTACTCTAACAAAAAAAATCTGTAATTTTATAGTTATTCATAATAGTGGCTATTCCTCAGTTACAATTTCCTAGCCATTCCAAGATAGACTTTCCACAGTTTAACCACAAACAGCTATAGTGAATGGATAATATCTAAGATGTCTTACTTTTTTGCAACAGTACCACTTTTTCTTTTCCAATATAAAAAACATAACACTTAGAAATACATTTTGCTTTCCAATTCTTGGCAGAGTATTTCAAATAGCTCTAAATAATGGTAGCCACCTGACATGTGAGCTCTCCCATAGGGGGATTTCACATTTCCTCAGTGATGACAGGAACAAGGCATGGCAGGTTGGTGCAGAGAATGATATCAGAGCTTCAGTTTGCTGCAATCCCATAAAAAAGCCAGTCGCATGGCTGAATCAGGATGGATGGAAATCGAGGCTTTGCTCTGAAGCTGCTCCTAAAGGACCATCAGTAACTGGGAAAATATGGGGTCCTAGAAGACAATCTAAAGGCGGCTCTGGGGTCGAAACTGGTTTGGCTCAGTGGATAGAGCATTGGTCTGCGGACTGAAAGGTCCCGGGTTTGATTCTGGTCAAGGGCATGTACCTTGGTTGTGGGCACATCCCCGGTGGGGGTTGTGCAAGAGGCAGCTGATCGATGACTCTCATCGATGTTTCTAACTCTCTATCCTTCTCTCTTCCTCTCTGTGAAAAATCAATAAAATATATTTTTTAAAATAATAAAATAAATAAAATAAAAAATAAATAAAGAAGGCTCTGAGGATAAATAGTGGCAGTAGAAAAGTTTAAGGGCCATTTAAAAAAATATTTAATAGACATTTTCATTTATATAACTCCAAAGAATATGTTTTCCTCCTCATTAAATTGACTAAATTTATTAGTTTGTGTTTACCTAAGGAGGAATAGAAGCGTTGGAGGGGAGATAAAAATAGCTAATATCTCCTCTTATGTGTGAAATCATTAATTTCTAAAACTCAAAATTACCTAAAATGTCATCTTGTATATAGCGCGGTCATTAGCTTCGCCTGAAAAACATGCTGAAATGGAGATTTCTGGACCATACTCTGGAAGATTCTGAACCATTATATCCGGGGTGTAGCCCAGGAGTATTCATTTTCTACAAGTATCTTAGATCACCATTGAAGAAAAGTGGTATATGCCTCACTATTCTCCAAAGTTTATTCACCACCATATTCAATGTTTACAAGTGCTTGGAGTATTGCCACTTTTTTTCATCAGCTGAGCACAATGAGTCAATTTCCCCTCAGAATTTTTTGTTTGTATATAAGTCATTGAGTATATTATACAAACCATAAAGGGTCAAAAATAGCTATAAAATTTTTAGTAAACCCACCTCATGTATTAAAAACACACACACACATTGGTTGAAAAATAGAGACTTCTCTCATTAAAAGTATGTATATGAATTTTCAAACTAGATACACTCTGTTAGGTCCCTATAGTCCTAACACACTCCATATACAAATATTCATACACTTATGCTTTAAGACAAATTTCCCACTTTTCTAAACTTTTTTGATGTAACTACATCTCTTCCCAGAGTAGAAGAAGAAAAAAATGGAGAAAAACAAAATTATTTAGAGTAAACAGGAGTAAATACTAGAAATAAAGATGATTTATTTTTTCTTAGAATAAAATTAGATTTTATAGTATACTTTGAATGATAAAGAAGTAATTTTAAAGGATAGATTGAGCAGAGGTGCAATTGTTTAAATTTGTGATAATTTAACCCTTACTTGAAGTGCTAGCACTTAATTTTAAAAATACCCTGAGTTACAATTTTGTAAATGTTTTCTATTGCTTGAACAGAAATACTTCAGGAGACTTTTCTTATAAGCTGCTAAAGATTTTATCCCATAACTAGTTTTTTAATTTTTAATTTTTAACATGCATGTAGGGGAATACTGTGACTCTTCACTATAACCCTGTTCATTTACAGCATTAATCTTTACAGACAAGCTTGTTATTTCCTATCTTTCCTAATGTTCCACTTGGTTTTATTTAGAAAAAAAAAATATTTCCTCAGCAAATTTAATTGCTTACTTGTAGACGTAATATTGCAAATAATCTACACTGAGGCAAACATCTACCTGAAAAAAAGAAAAACAAAACACAAAGGAAAAAAAAGTGTCACCAATTACTTCCAAAATCCAGCAACCTACTACCCTGTAGACAAAACATCTGGATCACAGGCAGGAATTTAAAACTTGGCCTTTAATTTAAATAGTTAGTTACATAAATAAATATCTGCTTAATATGCTAAACTCAGTTTAGAAGAGCTAAGAGCTAATCTACTCAAAACATTGAATTACAGAATATTTAATGCTTGAAGCCTCTGTTGTACATATCTTAAAAATGTGCTTCATGCAAGGGTTTCTGCTCAAGTACAAATGAAGTTAGGACTAACTTTAGAGACTTTATCTTTGCTATAAATATTATATTACTAAGGTTGTGGCTATTTCTCAGTTACAATGCCCTAGCCATTTCAAGACAGACTTTCCACAGTGTGACTACAATTAGCTATAGTGAAAGGGAGGCTTTGCCATCCCATAATATGCCTCTTTAGCATAAGGAATATTTTAGGCTGATTATTTTTAATAAGTAGCAGACTCAGGAGAAGCTCTGGAGCCAGTAGAAGTTACCCTTTTTGGAAGAGGATTTATATTTATATGGGAAATCTCCATTTGTAAGAGTGTCTCCTTCCCCAGTACCTGGAAGAGAGGAATGACTAAATATGTAGGAAATCTTATCAATTGAGAAGGTAGGAATTTAGATCTTCAAAATAACCACACCTCCAGTGTACTATGCTTTGCTAAGTAACCTCCTATATCTGCCTTCCCCCTAAAATAATCTTTTGTCTTTAGCTGGAGGTGATACTTAAAGTGACAGATTGGGCATTCCAGAGACCTACTCATTTTTCCTGGATACCTCCCATCCATACAGTAGGTTATACATGTTATCAAAATCTGTTTAACCCATCTTTTTATTACAGCCAAGAACCTAGAGAGTTAGGAAAATAAATTATTTTTCCTCCCCTGCATGTTTCTTCGAAG